TTTTTTTTTGTTATAAATTCATAAGCAGGCTGATTCATTGGTTTATCATAAGAGTGTGGGGATTATCATTGAAAGGATCACAAACATCTGCTCAAAAATAACATCCTACTGAATCAATACAATGTTGGTCATAAACAGAGCAGCACTTTTTTCTTCCCTTAAGTACATGTTTCATCATCTTCTCCAGAAGAAGATACAAAATGCCTGTTATTGTTTAAACCTTCTAAGTTTGCTTCATTCACAACTTTTTTTCCATTTTCTGATGTCTTGGTATCTTTTCCTTCATATTTTTTCTTCATGGCACGAAGGAATATAACAAATAAAATAAGCGCCGAGCCTTTTAAACTCAAAATCATGCTGTAGTAATAATATCTGTGGAGAGAAAAAAAGAACATATATGAATTTTAAATTGTGCAGAGAACACAAATTGTTGTTCTCTGGTATGTGTTGTTGTTGTTGTTGTTGTTATGTGCCGTCGAGTCAAACCCGACTCATAGTGACCCTCCTTGGGTTTCCGAGGCAGTATCACTATGGAAGTAGGATTGCCCAACCTTCCTTCTGAGGAGTGGCTGGTGGGTTTGAACCTCCAGCCGTCTGGTTAGCAGGCAAATGTCTTAGCCACTATGCTACCAGAGTATAGTAGAAGACATTAAAAGAAGAAAAATGATAGTTGGAATTATACATTAAAATATTAAGGAAGCAATTCTAGGAGTTTTTACATTATTTTAAAAGGATTATTAAGCCACAGAAACTGAGAGCAGTTGATGACCTACCCCACTAATTTTTATAAAGTAAAGGTATATTTATAGTATTTTACTTTCTCTAAGATGGATTAGTACATCTGTATTGGGAACAGATTATAAGGAAAGTGTATTGACTATGAAATAATTCATCTGAATGAATTTTAATTGAACTAGAGATCCCATATTTAGTATGAGTTAAACACAGTGCACCTAGCCCTGCTATGTGGTCTATTAAAAGTTTCTTAATAATAATGGTACATATTACCTAGCACACACAGTCTATTGTTGTGATTCTCAGCTTTGGTTGTACATTAGAATCACCTGAGGAAATTTTAACAAACTCCCAATTTTCAAGTTATATCCCTAACCAATTAAACCAAAATCTCTAAAGTAGGGTACAGAAATCAGCATTCTATAAAGTTTCCCAGATGATTGCAATGTTAAGTAAAGAGTGATGAGCACAATATAGTAGACTAGGAAGAACCAATTACTGGCTCCATGTCATAGTTAATTAAACAATGCTGAGCTTAATCCAAAAATTATTTTGAACAATAATTAGTTTTAATTGAGGTTGAATGTAATTCATTATACAATTTCAAGCCATTTAAGTTTAATTTTACTAAAATTACAACTAGATATTTTGTTGTATTAAACATGATAAAGATACATAAACAAAGCCTTCCTATAACTGATGCTTGGGTTATTTCTAGAGATTTCATTTTACTTGGATCCACAGTGAAAGCCAATGGAAGCACCAGTCAAGAAATCAAATGTCATGTTGCAAATCTTCTGTAAAAGACCTCTTTAAAATGTTAAGGAACAAATATGTCACT